GGGTTTAGGGTTTAGGGGCTTGACCTGGGGATTGCGGCATCAGGCATGGGGCCTCAGTAGGGCTGGGCGGCTTAAGCTGCAACCCAGGTTGAGGTGGTTACTGCTGCGAGTGTAGGCTCCAGTTCAGAGATTTGGAGGGGCAGGGTCGGGAACCCCTAAACCCTAAACCCCTAAAAACGGGAACGGAAACCGACCGACGAAGCCTCCTGAAGGCATGGGGGTCGCTACTGGCTCATCTCCCTGGAACTCGTGAAGAAGACTCCGGGAAAGCCGAGCTCTCGGAAAGTGAGGACTTTGAGGATTTGGGGGTTTTGAATGCTTGTGGCTGTTGGTTGTTTTAGGATCTTGGTGGTTTTACGGTTTTGGGGCTTAGAACTTTAAAAGGGCCTAGCTTGTTTTTTGGCTTGGGGTTAAGGGTTTTAAACATTTATGAGCAGTTGTGGTTCAGGATTTTGTTTTCCGGCTTGGGTTTTACGTTTTGTTTTCACGATGGGCTGTCCCTGCTTTGAGACGTTCAGGATCCAAGGGTCGGGTTGTGTCTGCTTTTGCGTATTGGGTGTAGGGTTTAGGGTTTAGNNTTAGGGTTTAGGGGTGCTTAGGCTTATGTTCAGTTACTTTCATTTATACATTGACTAAAGGTAGTTCGATGGCCTGTCTTACTAGATTCATACCGCTTGATACTATGACTCTTATAACTTGTTTATCGTTGGAATATCGCTACATACAGTATGCCTGTTGTGATTGTGAACACCAATGTTATGATGATGATTGTGGGCATAGACAAGCATAGATCATCATGACTACTGCGATCCTAGAGGGTCCATCTACACTGCCGTGCTAGAATTCGGTCCGAAAGACCCTCCTTGTTATGGTGCTGGGGATCCGACTTAACTAATTCCATTAAAGGAAAAACGGCTCCGACTTAATTACTTCCATAATAGTAGTAAAAACGGACCCTCTTGGGATTATGAAAAAACACAGCAGCCCGATGCGATGTTTGAGGCTCTGGAGCAGACTGATGCGCGATGAGCGCGAAGCCAACCGGCCCAGCATGAAGTGGGACAAGGCACAGCACTTCAGCGCTTCACGGCTTCTTGTATAGAGATGTACAGGGTTTTTGCAAGGTGCCTATAAGGTTTGTGGAGTCTTGTAGGATTTGATACATTTGGGACTGAATAAGCTGTGATGAGCTTAAGAGGCAACGCTGCGGGATGTGCAAGTGTCAGAGAATTTACTATGCGGACGACTGAACAAGGTAATTCTAACATGAAGTCATTAAGTTTGGGTGCACAGCCTCGAGATTTGCAGCAACGTCTCCATGTAATGATAGTTTAGGGCTTTACGGGTTTCTGGTTTAGGAAGTCTGACGGATTGGGAACCGGAGCACGATGCGGAGGACATGCAGAAGACTCCCATGATCATGGACAAGAGTGGCAAATTCACGTCCGTTCCTCGGGAATCGGGCAGTTGTCCGGACTTGAGCTGGGATGCATGGAAGGTTTGAGTGCATTGAATGATGCAGGACCTCGACAGCGCGGGTAAGCAGTGTTGAGAAGTGTGCTTGCTGGCCAAGCTTTTCTGTTCGAGCAACAGTTTGGATGGTTGCGAGAGCTTTCCCAGCAGCGCCCCAATAGCCAAGGCCCCGAAGCGGAATCGATGCCATGGTGCCTAGAGCCCTCACTGAGCCGATGAACCCGAATCGGTTTAGCAGACTGCACCAGAACCCGAACCCATCATCCTCAAGGGAAGGGGGGGCCCTGCAGTTCAAGGCCCCATCTCGAGTTCTCAAAATCCGGTCCCTTTTGATAGTGTTGTGAGAGCCACGTACTCTTCCCGGTATCTAAGAAGGGGCCCAAACCCAAAAGCAAACACCGCAGCCGACCACGTAGTCCCACTTGTGAGCCTTCAACCGAAACCCTGCATGGCCCTAAAAGGGTTTAGGGCCAGTTAGGGTTTAGACAAACCCTGAACCCTGAATCTATACTTAGAAGTGTCCCAGACCTTCGACATACTGCGACCCGACAGTGAAGCCCAAGTACGAGACGGAGGAGGCCGCCGTCACTGCGGGGGGAAGCTTGCAGTTTGGAGTTGGAGGTTTAGCATTTCCGGTTTAGGGTTTAGAGGGTTTAGGGTTTAGGGGTTTAGGGTTTAGGCTTAGATCTCCAGGGTTATGAGCTTACCTAGGGTTAGATTCATGATTTCAGGTTCGAGTTTGAGGTTTCAGGGCTTGATTGAGTGTCTGATCTAGAAAGTGTCGCGCCAGTATAGGGCTTGAGTAAAATTTAGGATCAACCTATGTGTGTATGTGTGTAATATATATATATACATATATATATATATATATATACAAATATATTTATATATACACACACATACATACAGTTACATACATACATACATACATACATACATACATACATACATACATACATACATACATACATACGTACGTACGTACGTACATACATACATACATTCATACATATATATTATGTGTATATATATATACATATGTATACATATGGTTTTGCATAACCATATACAGATATATGTCTAGTCATGTGTGTTTTCATGTTTTTGTTTCTTTGTTTATACGTATATCTTTATATATATAGAGAGAGAGTGAGTTGATGATGCCGAGACAGACAGCTCAAGTTCAGCAGCTGCCTCAAGAGCCATGGTGGAAGACTTTTCACTCGGTTGGCAAACGGCTCTCGGCGCAGGCTACGCAGTTCTACTGGCCGTGAACTATGCCTCCCTGTCCGGCAAGATAGGCCCCACGAATGCGAAGATATCGGGCGCTTATCCTACGCAGGTAACTCCTGCAAATTGGGCCTTCAGCATTTGGGGGCCCATCTTTCTTCTTGAGGGAGCAGGGGTCGGTGCCATGCTGACCGGCGGAGTCTCGGGGGAGGTTGCAAAAGCTGTGGCGCCATCTTGGTTTGCCACTTGGCTTTTTCAAAATGCATGGCAGCTGAGCTTTATACAGCTGCCGCCGAAGAAGCCCGGCGACGCGCCTGCAGCTACATCCGAAAGGGCCAAAGCCTTCCGCGTGCTGCTCCCCTGCGCCGGCTACCTGGTCGCCGCCCAGCTCTCGATGCTTTCCGCTGGCATCCGACTTCGGCAGAACGATGTTGAAGGATCCTGGCTCCAGTCTGTGGCTATCGACTTTGCCTCGGGCTTGAATGCTGGTTGGCTTGCCGCGGCCTCTGGCATCGGAATTGGGCAGGCGCTGGACCTCTTGCCTTCAGGCAGCCGGACATCTACAAGGCTCAGCTCAGCCTTAGTCTACTCCGTGTCTTTCTACGGCCTCCTGGCCGCCGCAGTGGTCGGCGCGAAGCCCCTCCAGGGCTTTGGCTTGGGATACGCCCTGGCGACGATGTGGGCCCTGACTGGCATCAGAGCGAGCCCGACCTCACCTCCGCAGGTGGGAGTTTCCGAAAATTCGGGGTACCTGATTTTGGGGTCCGTATAATAAGGATCCTACTTGTTAGGGTCCTCTAGTAGGGTCCCCTATTTTCGGAAACCGCCAGGTGAAGAGCAGCGCCTATGCGGGGAGGCTGCTGGCGGCTTTGGGCGGCCTTGCTTGTCTCAGGCCCTGAGCAACTGAAACGGAGGCCGAAACTCTAAAAAAAAACACCTCTAGTCTCCATTGTAGTTCCCTTTCTTGTTTAACCAGTATTATTTTAAGGATCCTATAAGGTAGCCTTATAATCACGAAGCTACAATGGAGACTATAGGCAGTGTACAGCCTTCGATTGATCTGACGGACAGCAGACGAGCGCCTCGTGAGAATGATGTTGTAAGCTGCAAGACCTCGGGCGGATTCGCTTGGATGCACTAGGGTTTAGGGTTTAGGGTTTAGGGATCGGGTAGCCTTACAAGGCCCCATGTAATATTACATCAGTCCACATTGGCTCTAAAGTTGCTGCATAAAAGCCCTTCAAGGCCAATGTATATACTGTGTATGGGCATCCATCCTCAGACACTAAAGTTGTGGTAACTTTGTTGTTGTGCCGCCTCCTCGATCAGGCCGATCTCGATGACGTTCTCATCGAAGAGCTTGAAATGCTGGAGGCAGTTTGAGGGGTTTTGGGGTTTAAGGTTTTAGGGTTTATAAGGGTTTAAGAGTTTTACGGGTTTAGGGGTTCTCAGGGTTTCAGGGTTGACAGGGTTTAAGGGTTTCGGGCTTTAGGGCTCTAGGGCTTCGGGTTATTGGGCTTCAGGGTTTGGGGGTTTAGGGTTTAGGTTTTTAGGGTTTACGGTTTGGGATTTGGGGCTTAGGTGTTGAGTATCCTAAATCCTGTTAACCTGGAGCTCTAAACTATTCCACATGCGAGTCTTTAAGCCCAAATTCGTGAACCCTAGCTGCATTTGCACCCTTCCACAGCTATGAATGGTTAAGCTCTGCTAGTGGAACATACTACTCAAAAATACGGCAGTCATGAAGTAGCATATAAGTAGGGTTACACTGCGCCGGCTTGCTCTCTCCCATGATCCTTGACGTTCCACTAAACCTGTTGCTAAAGCCTAAACCCTATAAACCCTAACCCAAAGCCCAGCCCAAAGCCAGCAAAGCTATCTCTGCAAGGATTCGGACTGTCGAGGCTTGAATTGGGAATAGCATTCCTTAAGATTGCCGAAAATATTTCTGGTATAGAAGCTCCTCAAATATACCAACCTAAACCCTGCATTACCCATAGTAAGGAATATACCATAACTCCCATAGTTTAGGGATCTCCCGCGTTCTTCTCGCATGGGACGTCCGCATAAACCCCTAAACCCCTCAACCCCCAAGCCCCTAAACCCCTAAACCCTAAACCCCTACGGAATATACCGTAACTCCCATAGTTTAGGGTCCTTAAGGTAATGCAGGATTTATATCGTCAACAGTTTCTTCTCTTTCTCGTCATGAGCCGCTCTCTGACCGTGATTCCCACAGCCTCCCTGGTCCCTAAACCCTAAACCCACTAAAC